TGGTTACTAGAAAGACCAAAGGACTAGAGGGCTGGAACTTTCACCCCACCTACTGACCTGGTTGGTTGGGTGGGGAGTGTCAACCAGGGAGATTAAGACCTACAAAAACTTTTGAATAAGGTGAGGACTTGGAGGCTGAAGAAGTAATCCAAGTTCTGAGAAAGTGGTACACCCTGCTTCAGGACCCTTCCAGACCTGGTCCCATGTAACTCTTCACCTGGCTGTTCATCCCTATCCCTTTTAATATCCTTTATAATAAACTGCCAAATTAAAGTACATGTTTCCCTAAGCTTTCTGAGCCATTCTAGAAAATTATCAGAAGCAGGGAGGGGGTTGTAGAATCTGCCGACTCACAGCTGGCTGGTCAGAAGTACAAGTGACTCGGAATTGGGATTAGGACTTGTGAATGGCATTTGAAGTAGGGGGCAGTCCTGTGGGAGTCCTTAACTTTTGGGATCTGAGGCTATCACTATATGGAGAGCATAAGAGTTGAGTTAAATTCCTGGATGTCCAGTTGGTGTCTTCTGAGAACTGGAGAACTGCCTGATTTGGGGAGGGAGGAGGGTACCACATGTCTGGTGTCAGAAGTATTGCGAGCAGAGGAGAAAAACAGTTTTCCCTTACAATTCTCCTTGTAGAAGATCCAATTTATAAACAGCCAGATTGATCCATTAAAACAGTACATCAGTTTAACCAAAAGATGATTTTACCTTTCAAAAAACTGCTATGTAGCATGTTTTCTCAGCATATTTTAAAGAATCTTTTGATTAAAATTCCACTTATCCCTCCTTTTTCAGAATCTCAACTGGTTAAGCCAAGGGTAGTACTCCAATGGGACTAAAAAAAAAAACTCCTCTAATTCCCCAGGGGACGAAAGGTGAAGCTTGGTCATGTGACCTGCCCAGGAACTTGGGTGTAGCAGTCCCGGGCCCTAACTACTAAAAAGTGTGCTTGCCCAAATTCATCATTTCTGTATTGTCACTTTAAACAATTATCACTCTGGAGGAATTTTTTCCATTTAGACCTCACCTTATCAAGAAAATATTAACTCAACTGAACCCTGCAAGACAGACAGCCTTGAGAAATCCAGAGACTGAGGTATCCCGGACAGCCGCCTCACTCACACACAGGTCCGTCAGGCAGTCAGAGGGAAGAACTGGCCCTCCAGGCTTCCCAGCCCTGTGACTCAGGGGAGGTTCAACTTTGCTAGCTATCTTATTTAACTATCTTGCCTTTTTTACCTTTAGGAAAACAACCACCAAAAAATATTTAGCTCCCCTTAACTGATAGAGTCTAATGAGACAACATAATTAAGAGTGAAGCAAAAATTACACATAGCTATGTAATAAAATACATTCCAGGATCATATTTCTTTGCAGTTAAAATTATCCTCATTATTTATAATCCCTCTGCATTGGAAGGAGGCAGTTTTATTTAAGAGATTAATCTATCAGCCAGGAGTCACTGAGTTTGAGCTGTGTCTCATCCCCTTTTGAATCCTTGCAGTTTTCTTGGTACCACATACTATTATTCTCCACTTTTAGGGCCTGGAGAAAAGAAAAGGCTGATAATTAAGTCCAGAAGGTCATGGTTTTTCAACATCAGCACAATTGATATTTTGGCCAGAATGATTTTTTGTGTGGGGAGCTATCCAGTACATTTTGGGATTTTTAGTGGCATCTCTGAGCTCTACCCAAATGCCAACAGCAGCCTCCCAGTTGGGACAACAAAAAATGTCTCCAAACAGTGCCAAATGTCTCCTGGCAAGCAAAACTGCCCCTGGTAAACAACCATTACATTACACATATAACACACAAATACTTGGAAGCCGTCACCTAAAAGGAAACCTTCAGACCAAAGAGAAAACAAAGAGAAAGTCATAATTCTCTTTAAATATCTGAAGTTTCCATACAGGTTGGGGAACAGATTTCAGATGCCAAAGAGCAGAACTATTCCCAGTGGATAAAAGCATACGTAACAAAACCAGCTAACATTTATACTTCCCATACAACAGGTACTGTTAGTGAACTTGGAAGTGTTATTTCATTTAATTCTTACAATAACCCTATGAAGCTGGTAGTACTGGCCCCACTTGGCAGATAATGAAACTGAGGCTCAAAAATGTTAAAGAATTTGCTGAAGGTCCAAGCTTAATAGCAAAGGTAGAACCAGGACTTAAACTGAGGCCTAATTCTGAACCCAAGCTCTTAACCACCAAGCTACTACCCCTATGACAAATTAAGGATTTTTCTTCAACATATTGATTTTTTAAAAGAAAAAAAAATTTTTTTAACTTAAAAGCTGTTTCTTTCACCCCTTTAATTCTTGTAGCCACCATCTCAATCCTCTATGTCCAGGCCGGAAGTAGATCCAGAAAACCTTCCTTCCTAACAGCCTCCAAGGAAGTCACACTCTTAACTCTGCTGAGCCCCTTTACAACATTCAGCCCTTCCTATTTCAAGCTACTCTGTCAAACTCTTCCTTGGAAAAGTCCTTGAGAGCAGGGCAACGCTCCTCTAACATTTATACCCTCACAAAGCCTTGCACATACTGGGGCTCAATACACCTTTTCTGAATGACTGCACCGCCTCTACCCTCCAAAGCTCACACAGCAGCAATGTTTTAATCAAGCATTTTTGAGGTGTACAGTAATACTTGTATGTAAGCTGAAGATTTTATTGGAAATGCTCTGAATTTTTCCCAATTCTCACAGTCTGAGTACACAAAGAGTCAGAAAGGAAAAGATGACTGGTAACACAGTCTGTTGGCTGTATCGTCAATCAAGCTCATAAAGACTTGCTTGACTATGTCCAGATAACGTGTCAGGGGCTACATGTATTTGTATATGCACATACAGTTATGTATGTATATGTAAATATACAAATATCTATATATATCTTTGTATGCATGTACAATGATCCCTGGCATCATGGGGTATTGATTCCTGGACCCTGCAGATACAAAAATCTGGAAGCTCGAGTCCCTTTTATAAAATGGTGCAGTATTTGCATGTAGGCTACAGCATGGTAGGCCTACACATCACTTCATTCACGTAGATTCAGCATAATGCTTGCTGAGTAGCAAATTCAAGTTTTGCTTTTTGAAACTTTCTGGGATTTTTTCCCCCAAATATTTTCGACCCACAGTTGGCTGAATCTGTAGATGCAAAAACCATGGATATAGAAGGCCAGCTGTGTTTACCTAAACCTCAGTTCCCTCTCTAAGAGATTAAACAATATCGATAAGATTTTTGAGACTTTGAAGCCAGCATAAAGAGATCTAAATTAGAGGCCTCTTTCTTCCCCTACTATATTAATAAGGTAAGACAAATAATGCTATAGTGTTCCTCAAAAAATACCAGCACATCTGCCAACCAGTTCTACCTCCCCCAGATATCCTCTAGGGAAAATGCCAAGTAGCCAAGCCCTGTCTGTGTGTGTGTGGCAGTGAAGAGATGCTCATAAAGAGTGGAAGGGGAGGCAGGAAAGCATCCTTTGGAACATTAAGCATTAGTTTGTAGGCCACCTGTCAAGGGACAAACACTAAATGTAGCTTATTGGCACTATATTTACATTAAAAACCCAATCTCCAGGTTGAAGTAATTCTATTAAAAAAAAAAAAAAGCTATGCCCAGTATTTGCAGAAATAGAAGCCTGTCTTCTTACCATATCTAGCTAGTGGTGAGTTCTCTAGGCTAACTTGGGGGACTCAAAAAGTAAGAGCTGGCTTGGAATACCACAGTAGACCAATCAATCAATTGCTTTGCCCAAGGGCCCATCTCAAAATAAGGGGAAGAGATGTTCAGGGGCACCTGAACATAAACCAGGCTAGCAGTCCCTCCTTAATTTCAATTACAGCAAGGGCAATAATCACGTACCAACACGAGCCTTTCCTATTGTTCATGGTATGGAGGTCTTTGGTTCTTTCTTTTCTAACCTTGTACCTCCATCAGTGACATGGCATTTTCTCCTTAATGTGCAACCAATCACCATTCAAGAGAGGCAGAAATGTAACTGTCCAGAAAATGCAGACAGATGATGAAATGGGATGGCCACTTAGTACAGGAGCCAGGGCAAAATTAAACACATCAACACGACCCAGAAATCTTTCAGGACCAACCACAAACTGTATCCTTCAATGTGCTGATAGGTTTTTGTTTTTTTCTTAACTGAGCCTCCCAATTTAGGATAATCATACTGAAGCTTTTAAATGCATGTGTCTTATTCCAGGGGACCAGCTGCAAATCAAAGCCATTTAATCTGTATGTGTTCAAATGGGGCCTACTTTTAATCCAGCTACCTTTGTAGGGCAAAAACGGATCTTGGTAGCCTACTTTAGCGCTTGTCACCAACCATTTACTCAAGTCAAGGCAATTAGGCCCATGACTGTTAAAAATTTATCTAAAAGCTCCTGTTCTGTGCACATCAATCACAGTCACGGATGAAAACAAACAGAGTTTTTAAAGATTCTTTAATCCACACTCAAGGGGGGAAAGTGTGAGGACAGCCGAGAAATCATGGCGACAGGGACAGCCAGTATCCAAGGGGACAGCTGCGTCTGAGACCTGTTTTGGGACAGGGCAAGGAACCAACTGGTGGTACTTTTCTCTCCAAATCTCCCTCCATCTTTTCACCTGCCCATTCACCACACTTCGGTCCAACAAACTGTTTTTCTCCTTTTACGGGTTTATAGAGAGCAAGAGAGACTGAAGACAAGCGAGGGAGCGAACCTTGGGGCTTACGACAACACGTAACGCTGGAAAACGTGTAGCTGTTTACTACCAGCGCGCTGGAGACGAGGAGCGCAGCACGAAGCAGAGCTCACCCTCAAGGCCAGACCTCTCCTCCCCCACCGCCTCGGGCGCATTCGTGCCTGGGGGCGGCGCGCCATCCATACTCCCCAAAATGCCCGAGGGACCCCGAGACTATCGGCGCGCCGGCCCCCAGAACATCAAAACGGTCTCCCCTTGGCCCCGCGCCCACCCCATGTGCTGCCATTACCTCGGAGGCCGGGGTTGTCGTCTCTGGCCCTAATCTTTCGGATTTTGACTGGGCGCCCGCTCAGAGTAGACAGTACCAGACGCTGGCGTAAGAAGTTGCAGCCCGCGTAGCAGAGAGAGTGCGTCTGAGTCGCCATGTGGGCACTCCGCGCAAGGCGTGGGCAGCCGAAGCGGCGGGGGTGCGGCTACTTCAGACAGGCGCAGGATCGCAACCTCGGTGACGGCGGCGACAGCAGCTGTGGCGACCGGGGTTCCCTCCCGCAGCCCTGCAGCCCCGCAGCCCCCCGCGCGTCCACGTGGTTTGGAACAGGAAGAGGCAGAAACGAGACACCGGGTCAGAGGGGAGCAGGGCGGAGCCGGTGACCGCCTCCCCGCCTATCCGCCGGGGTAAGGGCGGCCCCATACCGGGCCACGCCGCTATTGGCCCTCACTTGAGCTGGGCGGTTCCCGCATCGTGTTGCCATTGGTCGGCTAGAGCTGGGCGGAACCCAAGCCGCTTTTCCATTTGCCTGTGCTGCAGGTGGGCGGTGCCCGGGCCCCGGCAACAGCGCGCGGCTGGAGGAGTGCGGGGGTGGGGATGACCTGGGAGCGGAGGCGTGGGAGCTCGCTGGTCCACGCAGTCAGCGCGGGATCTCTCCCAGGGTAGGAGCGAAGGGGTCCATGGACTGGGGTTGAATGCCTCCTACGGGTTAGCTACCTCGGCTCTCTCCTCAAGGCAACCACCGGAATGTGGATAGTATTATCTCCCCCGCCTTTTTCTTAATAGAGAACGGGTTTGGCGCGCTTACCCTGTTGCAGACACCTTTCTGAGCGCATTGCTGGCAATGTCCCCTTGTTCCCCCCCCCCCCCCGTTACACTTCCACTCCCACCTTACACCTGGGGAAAGACGTGAAGAACATTGCAAAACTGGCAGTGCCATCGTTCAGTAGGACTCGTCTTAAGACACCAGGCCATTGCTTATTTTATTGTGAGGCACAAAATTTTGCTCCTTTCACATTCGTCTGTTAATTTCCACTCACAGCGCAAGTTCGGGTCCTCCCATCTCAGATAACCTCAAAATGGGTCAAAATGGGTTGTGATAGCTTCGCACACAAACACATACTCTGCTTTTTCCCTCTTTCTTGTCCTCTTCAAATCCTGCACACCAAAATCTTACCAAAAATTGGATTATGTCAGACCTCTCTTCAAAACCTTCACAGATCCCCAGTTAGCTATCAAATGACCACAAACTTAGGAGTCCAGTATAGTAATAACATGGCTCTGCAACCATTCTTGGACAATGTCACCAGATCCTGAGTTCCAGAACACATGTGGGGGTGAAGGGGGACGGCGGGAATCTCGAAAGGTGGGAGCTCGAGTTACGATTAACAAGTGTAGCTAGTCTTACGTGGATAAGTCTCGGTCACGAGGAGCCAACCTGAAGTACTGAGCTCCTATAGGGTGACAGATTATGAGAGGTGTACATAGAATTTAAGAGAATTAGCAGTGAAGTCCATTGAGGGAAGAAGGGAATCCATGTCTATTATTGCCATTTTTTCAGACTGCCTTTTAGGAAGTTGACAGTGGCAATGTGGGAATGTTGAAACCTCCAGGACTTCTGGGGGCCTCCCTTGAATTTTGCCCTGTGGGATACCAAAGCAACCCACCAAGAGTGGGGTTTTTCTAATATATTTCATTGATTATGGTATTACAGTTGTCCCATTTTTTTCTCCCCTCTATTCCCTTCTTCCATACACCTACTCCCACCATCCTTCCCCCACATTAGTTCATGTCCATGGTTCATACTTATAAGTTCTTTGGTTTCTCCCTTTCCCATACTGCTCTTAACCTCCCCTTGTCTATTTTGTACCTACCATTGATGCTTCTTGTTCCCTGTAACTTTATCCCATTCAGGAGTGGATGTTTTTTATATTATCTAATTTTCCCTTCTCAACCACCTGCCCTGATTGGTGTGGCTCAGTGGATTGAGCATTGGCCTGCAAACCAAAAGGTTACTGGTTTAATTCATAGTCAGGGCACATATCCAGGTTGCAGGCCAAATCCCTAGTTGAAGGGGCAACTGATTTCTCTCCTTTTCTCTGTCTCTAAAGAATAAAAATAAATAGAATCTTTAAATATTCAACCGTCTTAAACAACAACTAATATTCTCTGTAGCAAAGCCTCTCAGTTCATATCCCTTCAGCTCTTAACTATTTTCAGTGCAAACCTGCCTAATTTTCATTTATTTATTTTTTGCTAGTGATGCCTCTATCTCTTTATCTGGGAATTTTTCCCATGTGCATGGAACTAAACAGGGCAAAGGTACTGAGGAGTTAATGCCCCCCACCCAGTCCTTAACCAATGACTTATGGGAGGTGATGTATAAGTATCCCAGTTCCTCCACCATTTGGGCAAGATAGCGCTGAGATTCTACAGTGTTTCCCCAGGGTTCCATAGAGGTTTTAGCTACAGGTGCCCACAGGGTAACTTGCTTAAGTACCTTTTACCGACTTCCCTGCCCTGTATCCTCCTCAGCTCCCTTCTGATAACTCCTGGGATTAACACCCAAATAAACTACTTTCACTCAAATTATTGCCTCACAGTCTTCTTCTGGGCAACCCCCAAAAAGTCCTGATTTTTAAAATTTGAGAACTGAGGTTCAGAGAGAATGAATGACCTGCTTAAAGTGACATAGCTAATAAATGTCAAAACCAGAACAGAAAGTCTCCCTCTCCTCCCTCTCTTTCCTACATCTCCCTCTATTTCTACATTGCTCATTCATGTCCCCCCCTTCTCTCGTCACATATCTTTGGAATCCTGAACTTCTAATAAGAAGTCTGCCTACCATGCAGCTGCCAGGTCAGAGAGACTGCACAGAGAACGAGAGAGCTGGCTGTTCCCACTGACAGCTAGCATCAACCACCAAACATGGGAGTAGTGAGTCTTCACACAAGTCCAGACCCCACCCAGCTTCTGACTAGTCTTTGGAGCCACCCTAGTTGATGCCTTATGGAATACATATGAGCTGTCCTCACTGAGCTCTGCCCAAACTGCATATGCCTGAGCTAAAGAAATAATTGTTACTGTTTTAAGCTATGGGTTTGGGGGTAGTTTGTTACGGTATAGATAACAGAAACTTCATACTCCTAAGCTCCTTTCCCTGCATGATTCTGGGTTGCCAAGCCACAAGAAACATCTTTCATGAGATTTGGCTGCCAAAATAAAGTCCTAGACACATTTTTTTTTTTTAATGTTGGAAAGTCACTGTATGGTACCAGGCTGTTTTGTAGCTCACATACTTAATCTGATACTGACCTTATTGGTATGGGGTAGCAGCCAAGCCCATGGCACCTCTAACTCCCATCTGGTCCTACTTTAGCAATGCATACTGCTGACGGGGCTATGCATTTATCCCCATGATAAAGAACACCATCTTTTGCTGGTCATTCACATCATTGAGATTGGAGGCTTGGAAACAGTGATAAACACACAGGTTCTGGCTCATCCTGCTGATGTTGGGCTCCATCTCCAGGCAAAGAAAACAACCTCGTAGACTGTGAAACCAAGCCCCACAATTGCAAGAGGTCAAATCCTTATAATAAACCTCTAGTCTGTGGTTCTTCTTCTTCAGCTGAATATTCACTGGTGCAGAAGTCCTCACTGAAAGCTAACTGAGATCAAGGTGCTATGCTAAAGGCTTCCTATGCCTGGTCTCATTTGATCCTCATGCCTGCTAGCTCAAAAGTTGGCTTATGAGTAATAGAAATTTTTATACACTTCTTCATACCTTTGTTTACATTTGAAATTACTCATTACAAATGTTTAATCTGCTCCTATTCTTTCATACTAAATGATAAGTGACGTATACATTTCCTCATAATCACTTCCACAGATACTTTCATTTTAATAAGGATAAAAGTATACTTAGCTCAGCAATGGGACATTGGACTTAGGGGCCAGAGTAGAAACTGATTCTCCCCAGTCTGTAGAGAAGGATTCTTAACACCCTACTTTTACTGACTCTTGGAGACCCAGTGATGGTGATATTTTGTCTGTTTTCCTATAATTCTTAGCAGTAAAAACACTGATAAAATTAGAAAAAGTTTGTGTGCTTGTTTCAGAGCCTTTAGGAGAGGGGCAGAGTGAGGAACAAGAGTCTTGTTTTACAGACAACCATAAATATCTTCACTGACTGAAAGTGAAAGAGAAGGGGATAATCAGCAGGCAACAGACACTCAGAGCAGAATTTTTAAGGCATCAGTTGCCAACAGTAAAGCCATCATAGGATAGTTATGAAACATTATGATTTATAAGTATGAAAGTTCAAGTGTGAATTGAAGCCTAATACACAAATGCAGCCTTGTTGCATAAATGTTACATCATTTCTGATTTTGCAGTTTTCTCTGAAGTCCCCATAGCTTATTAACTGTCTCCATCAAATCGCACTCATCACTTATCAGATCACATTCCAATGTTTGATTTTGAACTGTCCATATTATACCTCTTTACTATTTTAAAGTACTTAACCATAAAAAGGAATTTATTGATCCATTGAAGGTCGAGGGATATCCCAATATCCATTAACTGATAAATGGATAAACTAAATGGAGTATATTTGTACAGTGGAATGTTATTTGACAAAAGTAATAACGCACAGGTATATGCTACTTCACAAATGAACCTTGAAAACATTATGCTAAGTGAAAAAAGCCACCCCAAAATATCCACATATTGTAAAGCTTTATATGAAGTGTCTGGAACAGGCAAATCTTTAGAGACAGAAAGTTGATTAGGTAGAGTCAAAGATGGTCATTAGAAAACCCACACTTATGTTCCTCCAGCTTAGCAAACCCAGGATGAAGGGGCCACCTCTTTTCTAACAGCACCATTCAATCTGGGGATGAGCTGTCATTGGGTCACGTACCCATTTCTGAACCAATGGCAGTCGTCTGGGAGAATATGTGCTCTGATTGGCCTGACCTGTGTCACATACCTCCTTTGCAGAGAAAGTGGTCTTAGTATCTCTCAAACCACAAGAATGGAGCATGAAACAGAAGTGGCTCTCTTAAGGAAAAATAAAGTTTTATTAATTATTACAAGAGAAAACAGACACTAGACAAGCAAAAACAACACATGATGACCTCACGAAACCCACCCAAGGTTAAAGAGTCTTATCACATCATGACTTTGTGGAGTTAAAGCTTTATAATATGCAGGTATTTTTCTAACTACATTCAATTCAATAAACATTTATCTAACACTAATTAGAGTGCTAGGGTTAACTATGCCAGGAAAGATAAAGGGTATATAGTGAGAGACCAAGAATGCAAAGATGAGTAAAACTCAGA